TTGATAACTGTCGTTTTCTCGAAAAATGATGTTTGGTATTTTAGGTAATTTAGACCTGCTAGAAACGTACAAATTGTTTCATTTGCTTGGATTACCTGGATTTTAATATCGTTCGACAATTACGGGAGGATTAAGTTATTTGGTTAGAAGATATGTGTGTATTATTATTGCTATCCCTATCCTTAAAATAATTTTGTTTTGAAATACTCCGATTATAAAAGCCTTTTTAATCCAAAAAGAAGCGAATTCATTCAAAATGATACGTCGACAGTTGAGTCACGCTGAAATAAGAAGGTCATATTCGTTCGAAAATTAAAAACTAAAAAAGTATTAAAAATTGACATTTTTAATGGAGAAAGTTGTTTAACAAAATATTCATTACGATTTCCCTTTGCATAAAAATGTATGTAAACTCGAATCTATTTGAAAAGTGAAGCATTACATGTAAATACAATACACAGATATGAATAGATATAGGAACTGAAAATAAAAGATCAATTGTTCTCTAATTATTTCTTAAAAATAATAAAATTTATGTAATTTTGAAGTATGATTTATATAATTTTTTATTATAATATTTATGTAGTACATTGAGTGCCTACAAAGTACTTAAAATTAAAGTTAGAAAAATCAATGAATTTTAAAAAATTATATAGAATTTCTTTCAAATTTTTTGACATAAATCTTCTTTTTCTTGTACAATTATAAATATCAGATATAAGTAATATATTTTATTGCATGTAAAGTAAAAATAATTGCTAGATGTCATATTACTTACACTATTTATAATAAGTATTGTTATATATTGTGTACAATTGTTTATTTATAATATACAATAATCTGGTATTCAGTTATAATTGTACCACATACTACATAAGGCCTGTTACATAAAATTATCTCATAATACAAATGAAAAATGTATATTCGATAAATTGTACACTTAGCATTCAATTTCATCATGATATTGGGTGCACACGTACTCGGCAAAGTTACGACACGAATGATTAACACGTGGACATTATTGACACAAAATTGGTATCGATATATTTCGATGATCACACAGGTGCAGTTGATAGCGATTATTAAGATAATAGAAAAATTACTGAATCCGTGATATTGCGATTAGAATCGCGTATGTACGAATCGTGCGATTAATGCCAAAAACCACTGGTATGCACTCACTTTGTACCGACTATTTTTACACACACTTATCCGATTTTATCGAGTGCCTAGAGTGCAAAGAGACATTCCGATATTATGTGACAACATCGATCATTACGCAATAGGATATCTGTAAACAACAATAGGCAATTTTTCATGTAAGATACTTTTTTCTGAAAAGAATTTTTGTAGAGTCTTCACGTCATTTTCTGTACATATTGGTCTTTTTATCGTTATTTTCCGTTTAGTATGTGATTAGGCTTTTTTTCACCTTGAAACAGATATTGACGTAGATGTACAGTGACACTTAAAAGTATAGGAACGTTCGTCTGGGCAGACTTTAAAACACGTTTATACAAATAAAAGAAATATTAATGAAAAAGATACATTAAATATTGTTGTGTAGTTGTAATGGTGAACAGGATATTAGTAGCGAAAATATTATCAGTTTAAAGAATGTCGGGTGATGAGGAGGATGTAATCTTCAGGTATTATTACGTAATATAATAATTAACAGTAATTAATGATAGTATAATATTATTGTAGCACATCTCTTTCATTAGATTTTTTCTTTATGAATGTGAGTACTTATACGATTTGTAATATAATAATTAATAAAATTAATAATAATCTATAGTAATTAATAGCAATTAATAGCAATGAACAGTAATTAATAGTAATTAACAATAATATAATACTATTGTAACATACCTCTTTCATTAGATGTTTTCACTTTTATCCAGTTAACTGGGTTTATTTATATCGACCCATTTTGGTCTGTCCGAATCCTATTAAAAATGGAATCTACTCTGTCTAAAATATTTCGTCCTTTCGACATAGTTTATTAAATGAATATCATCCAGTTATAAGAATGGGTTATTTAACATTGAATGCCACGGTGGTCACCGTTACACCTGATCAAATTGAATTATTATAATTCAGTCAAAAATTAAACGATGTTTATTTGCAAACATTTTTATATTACAAATAATGCTATCTAATGCGATGGTATTCGGCAGGATAAACATGTAATAATAATAAAACAATTCAATGAAATAGTTTGATGTTATATTGTCTTCATTTTGTATATGTATCTACGTGAAATCACGCGGCATTCAACGTGTTAAAGAAAGTTTATTTAAAACATGCTTCGTTTTACCAATATTACATTACAGCCCTTTTATAGTACACGATCGAATATTTACGCGTGCTTGGATACTTTTCGATACAACTTTGTATTCATATTCATTAAAATCGGTCGCCTCCGCAAACGCCGAACAGATATTCCGAGATTACGTCTAGACCCTAGACAAAGAAGAAATTAAAAGATCAGATCGCGATAATGGCTTGTAAGCTCGGCAGATAAGGCTGGATAATTAAGTACTAATGTACTTGATCGGCAAGGTTCTCCGGTTATACGACGTAGGTTTTGTACGAACATTACGTTTTCCTTTCCATGTTTTCTTCTACAAT